TGCAATATGTACAAAACTACATGCAACGGGATTTATGCATGGATGGATGCCCCTCCCCAGCTTAAAATATAGCATCGTCCTCGATGCTTGCAGAGAGGCATAGTCAGCCTATTGAGACTCGGATGGTGGAGGATGGTAGCTGGGTTGGGAATGGGTCCAAAACAGTCACAAATGCACACCAATTGAATTTTAAGTAAAATATGAACGATTAAAGATATGGAAAGAATTTACTGAATCATTCTTGGAGCCTCCCAATTATGGTGTAAACCTCCTCTTCATCCTCCCCAAGCTATCCGTGAAGTATTTTTGGAGCTGGAGATTCATTTTCTAGGCATAAAAATAAGTTAAAACCATTTGGGACAGAAAAAAAAATTGAAATTTACCAAAGAGTAAAATTTTTTAAAAGAAAGGACAAAAATAACCCTGGGTTGCCTCCCTGTTAGCTACCCTTGTTTTAAGTCGTTGGCTCGACTTGGCCCCTGAATGTGCTTTGTTTTAAGTAGGTCGGCCTTTACAACACATTAACCTTCTTGCCACTTCCTTCAATTGAAAACTTATCTTCTATCTGACTTTTCTTTTTGAAAGGACCTGCTCAAAAAATGCTTGGCATAAACAATTAGTAACACCGTGTCCCCGACAACAGCGCCAATTTGTTGAGTGTGTCAAACCCAACAAATGAAGGGGTACAAAATAACTCCAAAACACTGTTACTTTGCACTGAAAATGTACTACAATGTAAGCAGGGTCGATCCACAGAGACACGGGACAAGTGCTTATACCTTTTTGAGAAAGGTACAATAATGGTCACATAAATTGGGGGTTGGTATGCAATGATTTAAACAAAAGAATAAAGCAATAAGTAAATGATCAATTAAATGAAACAAATTCAGGATTTATGAGAACTCCAACTCTATGCAAGACAAATTAGCAATGTGATTCCATGGATGGCAAGATATTTGTTTAATTCTATCTAAGTTGGTACTTGAAAGTGTTAACAAGCTCTAACACCTCCCATTCACCACATCGATTAACCAAAATAAGCTCTTTGATTAATCCTAACCTTACTAATCTAATCTAAACATGCTCTTCTAATTGGATTGAAAGGTTGCTTTAAGCTTTATGTGAATGTTCCCAACAACACTCAATACTCCTCACAATCTCGGGAGCGTAAGAATGTGTGAAAAGATTTACACTAATTTCATTCAACAGAAATCAGATTAGTGCTTGTTACCTAGTCCAATTTACAAAACAATTACGGATTTTGCAATTAGATAACTTGAATGATCTAACCCTAATTCAAATGGCCAATAAGAATCACAATTAGAATCAAACATTCGATTGAAACAAAATCAAATTCACTAGATAGAAAATTGAAAGAAAGCATCAAGTCATATGATTGAAATCACAACTAGAAGTCAAGACATAAAGTTGGAGAATTTAGGGTTCTAGCCACTCATGACTAGAACAAGATCACAAATCATAGAAAATGAAATTAAAGTTCTTCCAAAATGAAATCAAATGTTCCCAAGTGTTAATCAACTTCAAAATCCTCAAGCAAATCTCATTCTCTACTCCAAAAGTCGACCCCCAAAGTAAAAAGTCGATTCCCCCCTTTAAGAATGGTGGAAAACTGCTTTAAAACTCACGTTTACGTTTACACGGCCTGCGTAAATTAACACTGTCATTTACACGGCCCGCGTAAACGCAAAAATATATTGCACAAAAATCTACGTTTACACAGCCCGCGTAAATGCAAGGCTTGCATTTACACGGCCGTGTAAATCTCTGTAAAACCAAAATCTTCATTTCTTTGATATCTTGCTCCTCGGCGCTCCGCAAGTCCTGAAATTTTGTCCGCAACTTTTATTTACCTCCTCCAACAATATCCTACCCCCAAAAGTCCCTGAAATAGCACAAAATTATTTGAATGAAATTGACTCATGAAAAATCCCGAAAAACATGCAAAATGCATGAGTTTAAGCCTATATGCAATATACTTTTATGAAATAAAGCTACAAAAGAGGTACATGAAATGCACCTAACAATATATATATATATATATAGGCATGCTTAATAGAAAATTTAAAATGGTCTTTTTGTTTCTTAAACTTATGGAAATGGTCCTAATGTGTGTGTGTGTGTGAGAGAGAGAGAGAGAGCTAGGTTCAGGTATTTAAAGTAATTATTGTGTTATTGTATGCACCAATCAGATTTTAAATAAATCAAATCATTTAATAAATAATATGAGGGTATTATAGTAATCTTATTATTAGTTAATTATGGTAAAATAGATATATAATTGGATATTAGTTGTATTCCTAATAAATTGCAAGAAGCACAAATATATTTATAACATTCAATCGGCATCAAGATTCAAAACTTTAAATTGAAGCAAGTATCGTTCCTGATCCACCGTCTGATCCTAAATTGAACATTCAGTCGATTATCAAGATGTAAATCAAAGTCAACATCGTCTCTAATCTACTGATTCTTCTTCTTCTACAATCGATTGTTAACATTCAAAACCCATGACCAGGTGATGAATATCCATCTCGAATCAATTAGTAAGCTTTTTTTCCTTTTCAATTTTTTCTTTAATCGATCGGTCAAAACCTTGACTGCCTTCCATCTCGTGGTGCCTCCACTTCTTCATCATATCTGTCATTTCTTCCTCCCCCTTTTCTCTAAAATCACCAGCAAAATGAACATTCGTCTCCAAGCCTTTAGCCTTCTTTTTTTCTGTTAAAAATTGAGGTTTTTATTTTCAAGTTGCCATGCCTGGACTTGATTTTCTTTCAGCAAACTAATTTACCATCTGCTTTTCATATTCGGTAGGTTTTAATTTTGTCTATTTTTAGGCTCATTGGATGTTTATAGAGTGAATTTTGAGTTTTTATGAACTATTTATGCTGCTTTGAGAGGAGTTATTAATTTAATCATACAAGACTGACATAATTGAATTGTGATTGTAGAACATATCCCGGTCAGATTCAATTCATTTGGATTTGCATTGGTTATTGTTTTTTCTATTGAATTGTATATGTGAGGTTTGATTACTTAAACATAGTAGAGAAAAAAACTTAATTAAAATAAACACTTTGATTTTCTTGTTTCTATACTAGCATTAGAATGCATATGATTTAGTGTTGGAATTAATGGGAAGTAGTTGAGTAAAATTTGTTTTGTAAGCAATCTTGGATTGGATCAGATTACAATAGCAGGTTAAGTGTGTATTTGTATGTGTAGTTTCTATATGTTTAATGTGTTTTTGTGTGTGTAGTTTAAATTCATCAACTATTTTCTTTTCTATGTTAGTACCTTCTTTATATTCATACACAGGGTTTGCTTTAACTCTTGATGTCATTTATCTACATCTAGAATGTAGATGGCTATCTATTAGTTTGTTAATATTCTAGATATTTTTTTTTGTTTCCGACTATGATAAAGCAATTTTGTGTGTGGGTTAGTGTGGGAAGCTGAGACCGAAAATTACATATTCTGCAATGGTGCATTTATGCATTTCTAACAGCAATTCTGTCGGAATGGAATCTCGAATTCCAATTCCGTCAAAATGGGAGAACTATTTGTCGTTATATTCTGATAGAATATATATGTAATAATATATTCCGCTAGAATATTCAGGTGGAATAATATACATGTTTTTGTTTGTTATTAGTAAGTATTTCATTGTCATAGAATATTATATAAAGTTTTTATTTTTTAAGAAGGTAATGAAAAATTTAAGTTGTATCCAAAAATTTGTTATTAGTTAATAACATTCTCATAAAAGTTCATTATAACATACTAGAGAATATGATTCTAACAGAAGGTCATTCCAACAGAATAAAATCGGGGTTAATTAAAAATTAAAAATTATGTTATAGTTAAAATTTAAAGTAAATTACACGATTGGTCCCTATGGTTTGGGGTAATTTGCGCGTTTGGTCCCTAACTTATTTTTTTAACTCGGAAGGTCCCTAATGTTTGTTTTTGTTACGCGCTTGGTCCTTACTTTTTGTTTTTGTTTCGTGCTTGGTCCCTGTCTTACCTAAAAAGACTACTATTTAAATAGAGAAAAATAGTATAGTAGATAGGGTAATGTGAGGGGGTTGGGGTTGGAGGTATGTTTATTTAAATAAGTTAAAAAATCAAGGGTAAAATAGTCTTTTTAGTTGAGACAGGACTAGACGCGTAACAAAAACAAACATTAGGGACTTTCCGAGTTAAAAAAATAAGTTAGGGACCAAACACGCAAACTACCCTAAACCATAGGGAGCATTCGTGTAATTTACTCTAAAATTTAATTAATTAAAAAATTCAGAATTTTAAAATCACGGAATGAATTATCCTTAAAAATATGGAATTTTCCTTTTTTAAGTTGATCTCAATTGTCTAAAATACCCTTATAGTGGAAATACATGGTATTTTTTAATTATCTTTAATTTAAAAATATGTATTAATCACTTTCTTAAAAAAAGTAAAATGATTGGCCCACAATCATTTGTACATTCACACAATAATTAATTAAAATATATTAATTTAAGCCTATATATAGATATATCTATAATACATTATAAAAATTTTTAACTATTTCTAAAAATAACTTCAATATAATAATATTATTTTTTTAAAACGTTCAAGTCTCTAAGCTTAAAGTACAATTAATTATGAATAAAATAATATTAAAATTTTAAATTTTAAATGAGTTCTTATTAAATTATCTTGAATGAAACCCTCATTCTCAGCAATTTACTTGGTCAAACAGTAGATATATACGTATCTTCTCTCCCAGCCGATTAAAACCTTAAAGTTATGAATTATCTAAATCTAGGGGTGAGCATGGTGCGGTTTGGTGCGGTTTTCAGACCAAACCGAACCGCAAACCGCATGGTGCGGTTTTTGTATTCTTAAAACCGTTGGGTGCGGTTTTGCAATGGTTCGGTTTTTCGGTTTTTAAATGCGGTTTCGGTTTGTATCGGTTCGGTTTGGGTTTTTAAACCATGTTAAGAATTTGGCGCAGTTTTTTAAAACTGTAAGAACTGAAAACCATGTGCATATAAGCTTGTGTTGTGCTGTTTTTTTCAATACATTCATTTTCAGCTCAAAAAAAAATTACATAATCAAAAATTGTAAGTCGCTTAAAATACAATTTGTGACCACTTTCACAAACTAATTAATAATTGAAGGTTGGTTGATTTTGACTTAATTTGTTACAAGCTTATTACATGTAATCGATTAGTATGTTTGGCTAACAATAGAATATTTCTTTTGCACCCCATATAGTCTTATACAAACACAAAATAAACATATAATAAATATATTATCGTTTTATAACTATTTTAAATAGCATGTACATAATATACATTGATTGATTTATTACTATACACGCTTGCGGTGCGGTTCGGTTTTGATGGACCGGTTTTTAGGATAGAAACCGCACCGCACCGTTGACCTTCGGTTTTTGCAAAAATTAAATCCGCACCATTGGTTTTTGCATAGGTTTCGGTTTTTCGGTTTCGGTTTATTACGGTTTTATCGGTTTTTCTTCGGTTTTTGGTCACCCCTATCTAAATCGGTGACCAACATCCACCTGTAGAAGATGTAGCCGGTGACCACCACTCTAAAGCGTCGGTGGCCATCTCTCTCTCTCCGCATAAATTCATACTATAATCACTCATCCTCACTCTTTTGTTTTGATCGATGTCAGATTAGATTTTTCTCATACATGTGGAACCAATTGAACTTTTTGCAAGATTTGAAGATTGAGGCGATCGTGCTTTTCTATCAAATAGAATCTACCTTCTTCTTTTCCCTAACCCACTTCAGCAAAGCTCTTTCCCAATAATTATTTTCTCGTGCTACGATTTGCATCCTTACAGCCGGTTTGACTTCCTCAAAATACTACGTTTTCTTTAATAGTTTGAGATTTTGAGTTTCATTTTGAACTGATTATTGATGAAACCCAAAACATTGGAGGTGGGTTCAGCTAAATTTGTGTTTGAACTTTAGATATGGGTTTTGTTTTGCTTTGGAAAAGGGTATCGACTGGAGAAAAAGGGGTTAATGGTGAAGATGATTGCCAAAAATCGACTCCGCGACTGTCTATTAGGTTAACGAATTTTTTCCGTTCTCTATCACTCTCGATAAAACCTTAAACCATGAAATCAGGTAAGGTTTTTATGTATTTAATATGTTTTTTCTTTCCTGAATGCCTAATGTAATGAGAAAACATATTATTTATAGCAGATTTGTTTGATTGGGTCCTAAAGCAACATTAAAATCTGGTATGGACACTTTCATGGTTATTTCTCTTTTGGTTTCTGAAATTTCTTTGTTTATATAAAGTTAAGGTTGTGGATGAAAAACAAAATATAGTGGAGCCTTGTGAATTGTATGATTGGTAAGCTGAAACTCCCATTGGTGTTAATATACTTAAGAAGAAATGAGAAATTGCTCAAGAATTACAACTTACAAGGTACTAATGGCAATTATTTTGCTTTGGTCCCTTCCTAACCAATGGATTGAGCTTCAATCCTATGCTTTTTTGATTCAGGTTAAAAATTGTCCATGTTATGGTAAATCTATTGAATTTATGGTTATAATGGCATATTTTCCCTCCTTATTACTATTATATGTATTTATGAAAGATATTTTGGCAAAACATCTAATCCGTATTATTTGTTCTTTACATCGTGCATGTGCTCTTAAAACTCCAAGTGACAGAAACTAGGCTTCTAATTGCTTGCCAAAACATCTTTTAGTAGCATTGTTTGTAGAATTCAGAATATTTGTTTTTTATTTATGTTTTAGTAATGGTTATTCCTAACATTCTAATAATGGTTTTTTTGTTCCATGTCCACTAATTTCATCTTGGAGGTGTTGATAATGTTGCAGAAATAACAAGGATACTAGGTATGCTTTGATTATAGATAACATTATATCTGATTTAATGTTGGAAACTGATGCACTCACTCTATTGTGCTAACATGCTAAACAGATCGGAAATAAAGCATAATAGATGGATTTCCCAGCTTTGTAGTCTTTGTAGGATTGTTATTCAAAGGAAAACCTGGTGATGAGAAAATAGTAGGTTTGCAGCAGTAAAATAAGGCATCATGTCATTTCTTGGATTGTTGATATTCTCTTTACTCAATTTGAGGTGAATATGAAGTGATCAAAGGTAAATTGTTTTCTAGATTTGTTTCTTTTATTAAAACATGTTAAAGATCATAGGTATTATATTATTTATTCAGTTGGGAATTTGTTATAGAATTGTTGTCATTGTCCTTCCCTGTTAGTGTAGTTTTTTCCTTATTTTATTTTTAGTTTTTCTTGACATTTTGTATTATTGTTCAACTTCCCACTAACTTTTTGTTCTTTAATATATTTGCTTACTGTTCTTAAAAAAAAAATAAAAAAAAATAACTAGGACAATGGTAACACAAGATAACCGTTTCTGATTCCTATTCATATAACCTACTAATGTTTGACGAAGTTGAAACTTTCACATGATCTTCTACAACAGTTGGAGGACAAGGCAACATGAAGCTTGAAGGGATTTTGTTTGCTTTGTTTTATCTACTAACTTTCGTTATCTAGCTTTAAGTTTAAACTTATATGGTTTAATTTATCAATGTTTTATTTAAATATTTTTCTTAAGCTTCAATGGTTTTTCAAGGATTTTATCTGCAAGAAAGTTAGTTTTCGAATGCTTGGATGAAATATCTAATATGCCATTTATTGATTATGTTTTGATTTTTATTTGTAGTATGAGTTTGGACCCGGTGAAGGGTGCGATCTTAGATTGAACCACTTGGAACTTGGGATTATAGAGCCGCTGCAGCTTTTCGCGGGTACACCACTAGTATATATATATATATATATATATATATATATATATATATATATATCCGGTAAGAAATTTTTTTTGGTAGGAAGGTAAGAAGTTTTTTTTCTACATAGTTTTTTGACAAACAAAAAAAATGAATCACTAGATGATTCATTTGTAAGATGATTCACAAGAAAAAATTCTCAAAAAAACATCTTTATGATTTATTTTTAAGTAAATTAAGAAAAAATTCACTTTTATGACAATTATAGTGAATAACAACAAAATCATTATATAAATGAATCATCTAGATGTTTTTTTGAGAATTTTTTCTTGTGAATCATGTTAGAAATGAATGATCTAGTGATTCATTTTTTTTGTTCGTCAAAAAACTATGTAGAAAAAAAACTTCTTACCTTCCTACCAAAAATTTCCTTCTTATTTGATCTTGACTATATATATATATATATATATATATATATATATATATATATATATATATATATATATATATATATATATACCCTAAGAACCCCAATTAATTAGTAAATATCTACACGATACTCTTATTAAACATGTTAAAATCCTTTTTTTTTTTTTTTTTTTTTTTTTTTTTTTTTTGTGTGTGTGTGTTGTCGGTATGAAAAGAGCAAACTTATAGTTTTTATAGTATAATATTTTAATTCGTATATGCTCTCATATTTTAACACAAAACTTATATTAAATACAGATTTACACAATCTATTTACATTTCAATAAAAAAAATCATAATTTAATACAAACTGATTTATAATAATCCGCTAATTCGAAGACGTCAAAAACTCAAACTCTACCATCACATGCCACCACCAACCACCTGTATCAACATAATACTCTGTATCAACATAATACTCGTCCTTTCTTTCAAATCAGATCTGTATATAAAGTTATGCCTTAACAACTTCAATACTATATTCACAGTCTAATAAAGCATATTAATTCACTCATTTTGAATTTAATGCAAAACAATTATAAAAACTAGTGGATTCTTATAAATTTATACAACAAAAAAATAAATATATTCATAAAAAAATTAATACATAAATCATTCATATTTTAATACAAATTATAAAAAAAAAATTCACAGTAAAATGCAGTCCATTCACAGTTTAAACAGAAAAATCCATAGTGTAATACGGTCAATTCACATTTTTAAACACAAAAACCACAGTTTAATATAAAAAATTCACAGTTTAATATAGAAAATTAAGATATTAATGCATTCAATTCATAGTTTAAAACAAAAAATCACAGTTTAATACAAAAAAATCATACTTTAATACATTCAATTCATTGTTTAAATAAAAAAAATTACAACTTAATGCAGTCAATTCACAATTTAAAACACAAAAATCACATCTTAATATACAAAGTTCATAGCTTAGTACAATAAATCTCAATTTAATATAAAAAAGTATGCATTCACAACTATATTATCAACTTAACATTCGTAAAACAATTAATTTACAGTTTAATACACAAAATTTACAACTTAATACAATAAACGAACAATTTAATACATAAATTTCACATTTTATATAGTCAATTCACGGTTTAAACAGAAAATTCACATCTTAATAGAAGTTAACTCTAAGATTATAAAAAAAAACAAATTGGAGATTAAAACATTAAATTCACGCCTTAACAGAAGAACAAAAACGATAAAAAAATGCACCGTAGAGATTTATAATAGATGTAAATAGAAAAAATAAATATAAAACATGCATTCACAACTTAAAACTTATAAAAAATAATATATTCACGACTTAAACTTGTAATAAATCATGTATTCACAACATAAAACTAACATTTTGTCATTTTCTTATTCATAACATTTAAAACTAATATTAACATGACTAAAAAATTAATAAAAACATTTAAACATCACAATTCACAACTTAAAAAACATAGATTCACATTATTTGAAAAAGCATTCGCATTATAACACATTTTAAATTCAATTCAAAAAAAAAAAAAAAAAAAAAAAAAAAAAAAACCTAAGTTATGAAACAAAAATATGTGCACGTATCATAACAAATAAGAACATAAACTTGGATTTACGTATTAATAACATTGGATTCATAACGTAATAGTAGCTAAAACTAATATTAAGAAAAATAAACAATAAAAAAATAGATTATAACATTAAATTCATAGTTTAACAAAAGGAAAAATAATCAACACAAAAGTTGATATACCTGATATATATCTGGCGATGTTTCACCAGAGATCAGAAAGAAACGATGGAGACAAGTTGGAGGTGTTTTACCAAATCTGAGACTTGAAGAAAACGAAACCAAATCTCGTTGGAGCTTGTAAACCTGTACATCGATGTTGACAAAAATCACAGATCTAGACATTTGTGGTGACGAAAATCATAGATCTGGACCA